CTAGATGAATGTATTAAGAAAATGTGGCACAACATAAAATGGACTACTACTCAATCAGTAGAGGAAACAAAATCTTGATACATGGCATAAAATAGATGGAGCTGGAAGACATGCTAAGTGAAATAAGTTGTCGCAAATGGACAAATACAAAGATAAGTCAAAAAGTATTGCTGCTAAATCACAGAAACCTTTATTAAACAAAATTTTCCAAATAGTGAAGCTATTGTTTCTTGACACATCCTCCATCTAGGTCTATACACTTCTGAAGGCAGTATTCTCTTCTCTCTAATCCATCCCAGGAATTCCTGCTGTGGTGCTGTAGGATCAGCTCTGGACTGTGAACCACAAGGTCAGCAGTTCAAACTAGCTGCTCCTCAGAAACCCTCTACAAAGTCGCTATGAGTTGAACAGAGTCATTATGAGTTGAACTAACTCGATAGCACTTAACAACAACAATCCTTCCCAGAAGAATTGTGCACACTTTGATTTACACCACACCGAAATGGCAGTTTTGGCATCCTCAAGGGACTCAAATCCTGTTCCTTTGAAATGTTCTTTGAGTTAGGGGAACCAAAAGAAATCTGAAGGGGCAAAATCAGATCTGTAATGTGGCTGGGATAGATTTCCCATTGAAATGCTCTAGGTACATTATCATGATAGAAAAAAAGAAATTCCTTGGTACAATTTTCCTGAGCCTTCTTTCACCAGTGTAGCTTTTCATTTTCAGCAAGCTTATTCTGTGTGCTCCTGGCTTCCTTTTCAAACTGCTGACACACTGTTTAATCATTCATTCTAGAATTTTGCCTAGGATTAACAGAAAACCTGTGGGGTTTACCAAATTCTAGCTTTTAAGTGTTTGCATTCTGTCTTAGTTATTTAATATAAATGCTATAATAAAAATACCACACATAGGTGTTTTTAACAAGCAGACATTTGTTTTCTCACAATTTAGGAAGCCAGAAGTCCGAATTCAGAATGCCAACTCTAGAAGAAAGCTTTCTGTGTCTGTTGGCTGTGGAGGAAGTTCCTCATCTCGTGTGGCATCTCTCTCCCCTCATCTCTGCTCGCTTACTTCCTTGTTTAATCTCTTTTATATCTCAAAAGAAATTGACTTAAGACATACCCTACTCTAATAGTGTGTCATCAACATAACAAAGAAAACACATTCCCAAATGGGATTATAACCACTGGGTGGGGAGGAGGGGGATGTTGTTGTTGTAAAGTGCCATCAAGTCCACAAGTATAGATATCAGGATTTACAGCACATATTTTGGGAGAACACAGTTCAATTCAGTCGATGACAAATTCTTATTCATTTTGATTCTCAGTTTTCAGAATCTCCTCATTAGATTGCTAGCCCTTCAAAACCAAGGGCTGCTTTCAGTGTATTCTTTCTGCGATACCCAGGAAAATATTCCATGCAAAGTGAACACCTTCTGAGTGGCTAGATAATTTGACAAACACAAGCTCCTTAAAAAAACAGATTATGAATTAGGTTTATTATAATTTATTAGAAACCACAACCATGCTTTTTCACAGACCAGGCAGTGATTGGACCTTGATGCCAATATCTTGATCTATTAGTCTCAAGACTAGGACTCAGAATTGATTTGCTGGCAGTGTTGTTGTTTGGGAGGTTTTGTTGTTGTTGTTATGGTTTTATTATTATTCATCTCAACAACCCTCTGAGGGAAGTGCTACAAGCCCATTTTACAGATGTGGCACCAGAGATTTCAGTAAGTCTCAGAGACTCACCCAGCTAGTCAGAAAATGAACCAAGATTAAAGCCCAGTTTTCTCTAAATCCAAGAACCATGATCTTAATCACTGTCGACCACCTCTCGCATTCATCCAGCAACTAGCCAGACAGAAGATAAGATATGCTATGTCCATCCTGATGTGATGATATAGAATAAACACTTGAATACTAACTGCAAGGTTGGCAGTCCAAACCTACCAACTGCTCCTTGGAAATCCTACACAGGGTTGCTATGAGTCAGAACCAACTTGCCAGCACTTAAAAACAACAATATGCAATATTTGGTGAACCAGAAGGAATTCTAGAAGGGAAGTGCACTAAGTTACTCTCCCAAGTTATTTGTTTAGACCAGGGATGGGGAATGTCCAGCCTGTGGGCCACATAAGGCCCACGAAATCATTTGGTCTGTCAATGCAACCGCAGTTCCGGCCATCATATTAGAGGTGAGTTAATTAATGTTTGACCAAATACGGTGGTGGTGGTGGTGGTGTGCATTGGAGTAGGTTCCGATTCATAGCGACCCCACACAGGGTTTCCAAGGCTGTAAATCTTTATGGAAACAGAAAGCTTCCTTTTTCTCCCACGGAACTGCTAATAATTTTGAACTGCTGACCTTGAGGTTAGCTGCCCAACTTGTAACCACTACGCTACCAGAGCTCCATTTGACCAAATATGTTGTTGTTGTTGTTGTTATGTGCCGTGGAGCCGGAACCGACTCATATAGCAGGCTACTTTTTAAGTTGATAATTGTATATGGCCCGCAAATGATGTTATAAATTTTGGCAGAAGAAAAGGTTTCCCATCCCTGGATTAGATAGTGACCACCATGGCTACTAGAGATGACCATTTTCTGGCTCAGCTGCTCTGGCCTTCTGGACAAAAACAGAGCAAGCCTAACCTCTGACAGGAGACCTAAGAACAACCCTTCAAACCACATGAGTCCGGAAGTCTCTGGATAATACCCTCCCCACACATACAAACACATTCATTTGTTGTTGGTTTTAAAAATTTGTTTGATGCTGGAAGCTCTGCCACTGGTGTTTCAAATGCCAATAAGGACAGGTTCAATGAAGCTTCCAGAGTACCATAGACTAAGAAGAAAGACTTGGCAAGGTACTTCCAAAATTTAGCCACTGAAAACTTTATTGGGTCACAACAGAACAGTGTCCATCTGACTTCCTTTAGATACATCATTAGGAGGCATCCAGGAATCAATCACTGGAAGATTTATCATGTTTGGTGAGATGATCTGGGCTGGTTCTGTTGTATCTAAGTTTACCTTGAGCCAGAGCCAACTTGACAGCATCTAACAGCAAACGACACAGAGAGAAGCAGCACTGATTTATTTCCTGAACAGATTCTTTCTCTTGTAGGTGGAGACCTCAACACACAAGAAAAGGCATTCACTTGGGAGACAACTTGAAAGAATTCACAGGATTTGAATCCAGAGCGTAGTTGTCCAAAAGGAGGTATTATATTTGGCTATCATTGGTTGATAAATATGGTCTGGTATTTCCTGGCTGATTCTTTACCCGCACACCACATGCCCTGATCTCTGTGGTCCACTGTGCAGATGCAAATTACCTGAATCAGGTTGTGGGTGACTCACCGCCCCCCTTTTAAAGCTGCATTGAGTTCAGCCCAGTGACTGCTGGGGTAGACGCCATGGCTGGCAGACTCTGCTTTTCCTGTTGGTTCCTTGTCTGCTGTTTGGTGGTAACTGGGTCAGAAGGTAAGGGGTTTCTTTTATTCATGTGTGTCTACCAATTAATAAGTCATGGGAATGCAGCTCCATGATTAGACAGTCCTATAAATTAGGTCTATTTCCATCAACTGCCTTCAGCCTGCTGAGTAAAGAGGAAGAGGCTGAGTTTTATCATCTGAAGACTTTGGTTGCAGTCTCAGCTCTAGCTCCATGACTGTAGACATCATTCTTCTCATATGTGAAGTCACAATATTCATTAAAGTGGGGGCCATGAGGACCAAGTAAGTATCATGCATGGGGGTGAAAAAAAACCTTCAAATTTATTTTAAAACAAATACTAATGTTTATCCATACACAGATAATGATTTCTATCTTGAATAATAACAGTGTTCAACTCTTATATCTTCCCAGCACATAGTAATAGTGACAAGGCAAATATGTGGGCTCTGCTGGTTCACTGCTCTAATTGCATCTGGTCAGCTGTGTCTTCATATCACTATTAAGATGATGAACACAGGTTTTGATTTCTGTATTTAGGATTATATTATATTTAGGATTATATTAGGATTCTCTTTAAGAGTTGTAATTTGCCACAGTTCTTCTTCTCTTTCCTTTTTCCCCACTACAAAATCTCCCAATGGCCTGAGTCTTAGAGTTGGTTTGCAAACCACTGGGAAAAGTTAAAGCAAAGTAAGGAAGGGAAAGGTAGTGGGTGATAAAGGAAAAGACCAAAAATGAAGAGAAATCTTGGGGGGGCCTGATCCTATCTAGCTTTTCTACTATAAAATTCATTCCAAAATTAAATGCCATTCAAGGAGCAGAAATCTTGGAGTCTGAGCTCGTCCCTCCTCTTGCACACCTCTGGGAGCTTTGCAAGGGTTCATCTAGATCCTATTCATCCCAAAACAAGATTCCAGAAAGCGCACATCAGAATAGAGAGGTAGAGGCATCAGAATCGTTCATGAGACAACCAGAGATCATTTTATTCAACCCCTGCATCAGCTCTGAAAATCACAGATCATAAATAATACCTGCTCCACAATCATCGGGCTTCTGGTGTGACACTTAGGATCAGCACTGGACTGTGAACCCAAGGTCAGCAATTCAAACCCACCAGCTGCTCCTTGGAAGCCCTATACAGGGTCACTATGAGTTGGAACTGACTTGACAGCATTTAACCATAACAACCTCAATTATCACCTGCTAACACAGCCATCTAAAAGTGCACCATAAAGTAGAACTAGCTACCTTCTTCCCCAGAAGAGACCAACTCTTCAAAAAGCTTTGTAAATAATAGTTTACCCATTATAATGAGATTGTTGGGTGCTGGCAGTGGATTTCAACTCATATATGCCGGAGTAGCACCGCCCTATCATGGGTATTTTTTTTTACTGTAATCAAGTCTTTTCTCCCATTGAGCAGTTTGGTGGGTTTGAACTGCCAACCTTTGTGTTAGCAGCCAACACTTAACCATTTGTGTGACCAAGGCTCCTTATGATGAGCTTAGAGGTTTCTTTTACTCCCATATAAAGAAACACTCATTGAAACATGGGGTTTGCTTTGTAAATTTGGTTTACTCCCTCCTCCACCTCTCACATTGGCCTCGAAGTCCTTCCAAAATGGCGTCACTCTAACCCAGCAGCCGGAGTTCTAATTCATCGCTCACTTGCTCATATTCCTGGGTCTGCCAAACATTGGTGGATCTCCAAACTCACCCTATTCTTCTTTCTTCCATGGCAGCAGCTGCTGCTGGCAGCCCCGCCCACCTCCTGCTTTCATCTCAGTTTATTGCAATTTTGCTTCAATCACGGCATTTAAATGCTACTATAAGATTGCCTTCACAAGCCCGTGTCAAGACACGTCATTTTAAAATTGCAATCTCTGTATTGGGCACTTTTGAATTCTTAGAGCAATTTGTACATTACCCATAGCATTTATTGTATGCAGCTCTGTATTAGATTCATACGTGTGCTGCATGTTTCCTACTCCAGAAAGCAGGCATCACATTTGCCTGGGTACCTGACGCTATCACAGTGATGTTGATGAAATGGCTTCCCTTATAGCACAGAATGGAAAAGCTCTTCTGCAATGCTGTCTGGGTTCCAAATTCCTCATTTGTAAAATCAGAGATGTGACCAAATCTATCCAGTCGTTCTGGGAGTCTACAAAGCTAATGATGCTGCAATTAATGTGAGTCAATTAATCATAGGACTTAAATTTCTTTCTAGTGCACCTGTGAAAGCACATGAGAAATTTGCAATGACTGTGTGCCATGAAAAGGAAGAAGTGCTTATTTATATTATCAAGTATAAAGCTTGCTTCTTTTAAAATCAGTACCGTTCACTACAAACCAGCTATTGTCTGCCCAAATAACCACAGAGTACAGATCATTATAAAAAAAGATTTTCTCATCATCACCTTTTTTTTTTTTAAGTACTAGTTGTTGGTATAATATGAATTTCATGTCTAGACTATAATAAACCCATTTAAAATTGATATCCAAATCCTAAGCAATAGTTTGGTTTGACTTTTTATTATACTATAAATTTCAATGTGAATTATTATTGCAAATCTTCTGGAGCTAGAATTAAATTCTCTCTGAGCTCTACAAAAATATACACAGAGAACATTCAATATCTCCTTACCATTCATTTAATTCATCAAATATTTACAAAGCAACACTAAATAGCAGGGACTGCTCTAGTTACAGGAATCCCTAGGTAGCACAAACAATTAGGCACTCAGTTACTAACCCAAAGGCTGGTGGTTCAAATCTACCCAAAGGCACCTCAGGAGAAAGCCTAAAGATCAGCTTCCAAAAGACCATAGTCACTGAAAAATCTATGGAGCACAGTTCTACTCTGACACAAATGGGGGTGCCATGAGTCGGAAGTAACATGATGGCAACTAGTTAGTCCAGCTACTAGGGACATCGTAGTGACCAACCATCAACAATCCCAGTTCTCATGGAAGCTCTATTTTAATAACATCTGGACCCTTTCAGCCAGAGGCCCTAATAGCATAGTGGGTTATACCTTAGGCTGCTAACCACAAGGTCAGCAGTTTGAATCCACCAGCCGCTCCAAGGGAGAAAGATTCAGTCTCAGAAACACTATACAGGGTCGCTATGAATTGGAACTCAGTCAACAGCCCACCACCACCCTGTAGTCTTATCTTTAGTGCACAGATTTCACTATAAAATATGGGTGTTAAAAAATAAAGTTTATGCTACTGGAATTGTTTGATAATATTAAAGATTGATAATAGCAATAACTAACTCCTAATAAATGTGTACAATGTGTTGGGCAACATTCTAAGCACTTTTAATATCTTGTTGTTGTTAAGTGCCATCGAGTCAGTTCCGACTGATAGTGACCCTGTATAGAGTTTCTGAGGGGTGGCTGGTGAGCTTGAATTGCCAACCTTGTGATTCAAACTGACCTTGCAGTCCAGAGCATGAACCCGCAGCGCCACACCAGGACTTCACTTATGTATTAGTCACAAACAGAAACTATGAAATAGTAGCTTGTGAATGGACTGTGAAACACAAGATCAGCCATTTCAGTTCAACAGCCATTCTACAGGAGAAGGATGAGGACCTCTGCTCCCACAAAAGATGTAAAGCCTTGGAAACTTTATACAGGGTCGCTATAAGTAGAAACCGACTCCATGGCACTTAACAGCAACAACAGCCTGTCTATGGTCACACAGTTATTAAATGGCAGAGCTCAGACAACCTGACTCTAGAGTTTATGCTTTTAAAGATTATGCTCTTCTGTCTCTCAAAATGTTTTAAATCTGCCTTTAAATAGTTGACCTACTTTTGTTTTACTAAGCTTCCATTAGAGCTCTATCTCTGTGCCTTTGGTATGTTTCATATTGGGAAATAGTTGCTTATTAATAATGGCATTATCCCAAAAAGGGAGGAACATAGTAGCTTTTGCAATTATAGAAACTGAGATTTCCCTTAGTCAATTCAATTCTACTGTAGGTACTACATAAGAGTGTAGGCATTGTGCTGAGAATGAGACGACAAAGGACATTTCCATGAGCAAGAATGTATCTACTGAATAGTAGGTATATGGCTGATGAGAAAATGAAAATGGATTACAAATGTGCTACAGAAGCAAATTGCAAGAGGCCCTACCCAGCATCAGGGGATAGGAAGCATCAGGGAAGACTGTCCTGAAGAAATGAGACCTGGAAGCTGAATAGGAGTTAGTCAGGCAAAGTGGGTTGGAAAGGATGCACTAGACAACTGGAACCAGCTTTTTACAACACAGAGCCATTGGTGATTTTTGCTAAAGTAACTTTGTGGAAAAGAGGAAGAGGCAGAATCAAATTCCAATGAATTAACTAGGTGTGGGGGAAAAAATGGAGTCTATATTTGTAGACTTCTTTTTGGAAAGAGAGAATAGGAAACAAAGAAATTCAAGATGAAGCACATCATATTTCTCTCTGAAATAAAAAGTTAGGTAATCTATTTGGAAGGATGTAAGGATTTTGAAGGTGCATCCAAGAGGGTAATGAAGCTTTACAAGGAAATAGTATGAGAATAGAACAGAGCAAGGATAAGCAAAAGAACTTGTTGTTATTGTTGTTAAGTGCTGTCAAGTTGGTTTCCAAACCCTGTATAGGGTTTCCGAGGAGTAGCTGGTGAGCTTGAACCACCAACCTTGCAGTTCAAACGACTTTGCAGTCCAATGTATTAACCCACAGCATCATACCAGGTCTCCTTGTTGTTGTTGTTGTTAAGTGCCGTCGAGTCGGTTCCGACCCATAGCGACCCTGTACAGGGTTTCCGAGGGTGTAAATCCTTACGGGAGTAGAAAGCCTCATCTTTCTCCCACCGAGTGGCTGGTAGTTTCGAACCGCTGACCTTAAGGTTTGCAGCCCGATTCGTAACCACTACGTCCTGAAAAGTATTAATTCAGCCTTCAATAGGGGTTGCACCTCAATGTAAAGAAAACAAAATCTTCACCACTGGAGCAATAAATAATATCATGTTAAATGGAGAAAACATTGAAGTTGTCAAAGACTTCATTTTGCTTGGATCCACTATCAACACTCATGAAAGCAGCAGTCAAGAAACCAAATGACGTATTGCATCAGGCAAATCTGTTCACAAGACTTCTACAAATCGTTCAACAGCAAAGATGTCAGTTTAAGGACTTTAAGGACTAAGGTGTACTTTACCCAAGCCATGGTATTTTCCATATATACCTCATATGCATGTGAAAGATGGTCAATGAATAAGGAAGACTGTAGAAGAATTGCTGCATTTGAATTATAGTGTTGGAAAAGAATATTGAAAGTACCATGGACTGCCAGAAGAATGAACAACTTTGTGTTGGAAGAAGTACAGTCAGAATGCTCCTTGGAAGCCAGGATGATGAGACTTCATGTCTCATACTTCAGACACGTTATCAGGAGGGACCAGTCCTTGGAGAAGGGCACGATATGTAGTAAAGTGGAGAGTCATCAAAAAAGAGAAAGATCCCCAAGGAGATGGATTGACATCATGGTAGGAGCACTGGCCTTAGGTCTAACAACTGTGAGGATGGCATAGGATAGGGCAAAGTTTCATTCTGTTGTGCATAAGGTTACTATGAGTTGGAACTAACTTGTCAACACCTAAGCAGCAACAACAACAATCAATTCAGCCAAAAGTAGAGACAATGAATGGCGTGAACCTACTCAGATGGATAGCCTTAACTTTGCAAGATGTGATGGGTTTCCAACTCAGCCTCTACAGTTTCCAGTTTAGAACACTACCAAACTCTTTTAGGACGGCTGATAAATGCCTACAGGACACTTCACTCTATGGTAAGTCTCAGCCTGAAGGCACTCGGCTCTAGCTCTGTGGGTCAGAAAACCTTAATATTGTTAGGCACACAAGCGGTGGCAGCAAACCTAGCACTTCAGTTACATATGTGGAGGCAGCCCACTCTGCAAACAAGCCTCCTGCTCTAAGTCACTCAACTTGACCTGCCTCATGGGCTGGGAGGCCCACTACTCTGGCTTGTCCTCTGGTTCTTTGGTTCTGCTCCTCTGCCATTCTCTGGTGTCAGGGATTTCTGTCCCGGGTCAAGGAGGTTAAATGCACAGGATCTAAAGGATACACTCCACTCATGACTCTTCTTCTTTGATGGTAGTGCAATCTCCCCTCCTGTTTCTGAGCCGATTCATGGTAGAGTTCCAATTTTTTACAATTACTATTAGCTCTGTTAACATCCACAGCTGAATCATGTCCTCCTATCAGCATCTTCTCCCACCTTCTCTTACCCAGACCCAGCAGGGCAAAATGTTCTTTGGTGAGAGGTACAAATAATGACTAGAAGAGATATTAAATAAGTTATGACATCACATCCTCCAATAAATTCCCTGGAGTAGAATTGCTGGGTCAAAATGTGTGTCTGGTACAACGCTGTAGGATAAGCACTGGACTGCTAACTGCCAAGTCAGCAGTTCAAACCCACCAGCCACCCTTCAGAAATCCTACACAAGGTCAGAACCAACTCCACAGCACTTAACAGCAACAACCAACATCCTAAGACAAGTGCGGTGACTCCATAGAATAACACTGGACTTCGAACCACAAGGTTAGCAGTTTGAGCCCACCAGCCACTGTTAGGGAAAAACATGAGACTTTCTGCTCCTGGAAAGATTTTAAAAGTTTCAGGAACCCTATACAGGGTCACTGTGACCCAGAACCAACTCCACATCACTTAACAACAACAACAACAATCCTAAAGTATCATCCTTCTGATTCTGTTGTTGTTGCTGTTGTTAAGTGCCACCAAGTCAGTTCTGACTTAATGTGACCCTGTATAGGGTTTCCAAGGAGTGGCTGATGAGTTTGAACCACCAACCTTGTGGCTTAAACCAGCCTTGTTGTCCAGGGCTTTATCCCACACCAGTGAGATCTAGTTTCTAACCTGCATTTTCCTCCCTACAGGGCAAGAAGTCACACCCCGTGGAGGCTCACAAAACAATGGGGATTCTACTGACTGCCAGATCTTTACACTTACCCCTCCTCCTATCACAAGGAATCTGGTGACAAACATTCAGCCCATCCCAAGGACACCCAAGTGTCCTTTCCACTTTTTTCCACAGAGGAAGCCCAGAATCCACTTCAGGTTCCCACACAGACATTTCCTCCTTCCAAAGTGCAAACACCGTTTCCAGAAACGGCCAGTTGTTTGGCCACTTGGTCGCCACACTTCTCATTATCAATATTTCCCCAGAAGATATCTCCAGAGAGGAAGTTCATCATCCGAGGAAAACTAAAAGAAAAAAGAAGTCCCGAACTGAAGCAATAGAAACCAATGCCACAGGAAAAAATAGTAAAGGATTTCTGTTATCTCTTTCCAAACTAAAACTACTGGTTGTTAAGTGCCATCAATTCGGTTCCAACCCATAGTGACCCTGTATAGGGTTTCCAAGGAGTGACTGGTGAGCTTGAGCCGCAGATCTTGTGATTCAAATGACTTTGCAGTCCAGCGCATTAATCCATAGCACCACACCAGGACTCCGTATTTGAAGATTAAGTATCATAAAATCCACTGACTAAATTTTTCTCATTGTCAGCAGTGAAGATACTGGTTTATTCATGTTCTGTATCATAGCGACAGTGACTATATTGTTCTTATCTCCAACTTTTTGTGATTTCAGGATATTTATGTAAATAAAATCTTTAAATAGATGACTCTAATAATTACAAATCATATTGAGATGCCAGAGTTATCAATCTTTCCTTCTAAACTGGAGTGAAGAACATTTAAGTAAAGATCGATATAAATCAAACAAGGACACTAATAACATGCTTTTCTACTCTTTGGAAAATTTACAGAACAAGATGCATTTACAAAGTGAAAGTTAACAATAAAAACTACACTAAGTAAAATTGTGGTGAGTCTGGCTGTAGGTAATAATTCAAAGAAGCTATAGACTGAATTGTTGTTAATTGCCATCAAGTCAGTTACAGTTCACAGTATACTGCTCCATAGGGTTTTCAAGACTGGGGTCATCAGAAGCAGATTAACAGGCATTACTTCCAAATTGCCTCTGGTTGAGTTTGAACTATCAACTTTCAGTTACTAGACCGACACTTTATGCCACCCAAAGACTCCTACAAAGTAAACTATCTAACCCAAACAACTTTGGCTCTAATTGTAATATCTAAATTTATTTTAATGTTAACTAATACATAGACTCCTGGTGTGGAGCTATAGGTTCAGCACTGGACCATGAACCACAAGGTCATTAGTTCAAACCCACAGCTGCTCCTCAGAAAACCTATACAGGGGCACTATGAGTTGGAACAACAACAGCAGTACAAATTAGTTTCATGGGTTTCTCACTGTCTCCTATTGCTGTCATATAGATACTAAGTAAAGTTATATATAGAGTCCTGGTGTGGCACTGTAGGATAAGCACTGGCTGCTAACCACAAGGTTAGCAGTTCAAACCTGCCGATCACTCCTTGGAAACCTATACAGGGGTGCTGTGAGCCGGAACTGACTTGAACAACAACAATTAATCAAAAGATTGATGGTTTGAATACATTTAGCAGCTCTGAGGAAGAAAACCCTGGCAATCTACCTTGTTCTATAAGATCACTCCATCGGAAACCCAGTGGACTGCAATTCTTCTCTGCATTATTGTTACTGTTGTTGTTAAGTGTCTTTGAGTCAGTTCTGACTCGTAGTTACCTGTGACTATAGGGTTTCCTAGGAATGGCTGGTGGGTTTGCAATTCAAATCCACCTTGCAGTCCAGTGCATTATCCTACAGTGCCATACCATGCATGACTCTGCATTATGGATCACCAATAAAAAAAAGGGGGGGGGGCGGCAATAGAGACATGAGACGTAGGAATAGGTGCCTATGAAAAGGAGAGAATAAAATAAAATCTTCATTCTGTTCTTCCTTGCTAGATTAAAAGAGAAAAAAAAAAAAAAAAAGACAAATTTATTTACTCACTTCATGCTGTTGTTAGATGCTGTTAGGTAGGTTCCAACTCATAGCAACCCTACGTACAACAGTGAAACACTGACCAGTCCTGTCCAATCCTTATAATCATTTCTGTGTCTTAACCCATTGTTGCAGTTACTGTATTAATCCATCTCACTGAGAGTCTATTTATCACTGACCCTACCTTAGCAAGAGTCCTGGTGTGGCACAATCGGATAAGCACTCCACCGCAAGGTGGGTTTGAACCACAACGCTGGCAGTTCAAACTTACCAGCCGCTCCTCAGAAACCCTATACGGGGTCGCTGAGTCAGAGCTGACTCTACAGCACTTAACAATAATGACTTTAATAAGCATGGTGTTCTTCTACAAGTCTTTGATTTTAATAAGCATGGTATTCTTCTACAAGTCTTTGATCTTCATCAGTAAGTATTTGTCCTCTTCTCTTTCAGTAAGCTAGGTTGTATCATCTGTATATCGCAGGTTTTTAATGACTTTCTCTAATCCTGATGCCACATTTTTCTTCATATAATCCAGCTTCTCAGATTATCAGCTCAGCTAAGAAATTGAATAAGTATGGTAAGAGGATACAACCCAGTGCACAACTTCCCTTATTTTAAATTATTCAGTATCCTGTTTCTCTAAAGACCGCTTGGTCTATGTACAGTTTCTTCATGAGCACAATTAAGTATTCTGTATTACCCATTCTCCCCTATGTTACTCATAGTTTGTTATGACTCACATAGTCCAATGCCTTCACATAATCAATAAAGCACAAGTAAATGTCATTCTGCTATTCTCTTCTTTCTGCCAAGATCCATGTGACATCAGCAATGATACCCCCATTTCCATGTCCTCTTCTGAATCTGGCTTGAGTTTCTGGCAGTTCCCTTGTTGATGTACTGTTACAAACATTTCTAAACTATCTTCAGCAAAATTTTACTGCATGTTGTATTAAGTAGGATTCTGTGTCAGCTTGACTAGGCCAGGATTTCCAGAGGTTTCAGAGTTGAAATTTGCTTATTCCCATGGTGGTTGTTGTTAAGTGCCATCAAGTCAATTCTGATTCATAGGGTTTCCAAGGAGTCGGTGGTGAGCTTGAACCACCAACCATGCAGTTCACAATGACATTGCAGTCCAGGGCACTAGTCTACAACACCACACCAGGACTCCATTATTCCCATGGTATAGATAGCTCTATGATGTATGGCTATGAGCAGCCAATCAATTAAAGGGATGCTTTCTTCAGCTGGAGACCTGGGACTCTGCAATTGTAAGCTATTTCCTTGATAATAAACTTCTCCACACACATATGTACGTTTCACTGGTTTTGCTTCACTAGAAAACCCAGCCTAAGACATATGTGATATCAATGATGTTGTTCAATGGTTTCTGCATTCCATTCGGTGACCATTTTATTTTTGACAACTTCCAATTTTCCTAGATCCATACTTCATACATTTCATATTCTGATTTTAAATGGATATTTGCAGCTGTTTCTTCTCATTTTGAGTTGTGCCTCATCAGCAAGTAAAGGTCCTGAAAGCTTAACTCCATCCACATCATTATTGTCAATTCTACTTTCAGGAGGCAGCTCTTGCCCAGTCTTATCTTTGGCACTATACATGTCAATGTATTTCTGTGATTCGTAAGGTTTTCAGTGACTAAACATTCAGATGTGGTCCAGCCTCTCCTTCTTCCTAGTCTGTCTTTGTCTGAAAGCTCCACTGAAACCTGTCCACCATGGGTGACCCTGCTGGTATTTATAGCACCAGTGGCATAGCTTTCAGTATCACAGCAACACGCAAGCCACCACAGTACAACAAACTGATAGACAAAGGGCGGTGGAAATTTATGGCAGGTGTAAACTGGTCAGTAGCAAATTAACGACTTGGAAGAAGTGCAGCCAGAGTGATCCTTGGAGGTCAGGATGGCCAAACTTCATCTCTCATACCTCGGACATATTGTTGGAGAAGGATCTCAAGTTTGGTAAGGTGGAAGGTCAGAAAAAAAGAGGAAGACCCCCAGTGAGATGGATTGGCAATATGGCACCATCAATGGGCTCAAGCGTGGCAACAATTATGAGGTTGGCCCAGGACTGGGCAGTGTTTCATTCTGTTGTATACAGGGTTGCTATGAGTCAGCACCGACTCAATGGCACCTAACAACAACAACAACGTAGAAGAGACATCACAAACAAATGGTTTCATCTGAAGCTTCTTGATACAGACATATACATGACCTGGCCTCCCATGCTATTCACACCACTCCTCTCAATGACCTCATTTCACACTCTCTCACTCCCCTTGAGACACATTGGCCTCCTCACTGTTTCTCACACCAATCACACTTCTGTAGCCAAATTCTGTGCCTTTGCTGTTACCTCTGTCTTAAATGCTCTTCCCAGCTAGCCACATGGCGTCCTACCTAATTACTTTCACCACCATCACCATTGATTGCCCTGGAGTCAATTCCAACTCATGGCAACCCCACATATGTCAGAGTAGAACTGTGCTCCATAAGATTTTCAGACATGGAGTTTTCAGAAATAGATGACCAGATCTTTCTTTCTTTTTAAAGATTTTATTGTGAATTGAGTGATAGTTTACATGGGGAACATCAGTTTGTTTCATTGCAGTGATTACAATCCCATGCATGTTTCATCATTCAACAATATTTACTTCTGTTTCCTCTGATGTTTGTTTGCTTTTTTTTTGGATGTGCACCAAAACACTCAGGAATATACAATCATTCAAACAGCCAATAGGCACACCCTGGCCCCCGGCCATCAGTACACATGACCGCTCCCTCCATGAGTCTAGTATCTTCAGCTGTTCCATCTCTCCATGTCATCATCTCTGCCTCCATCTCCAGCATCGCCACTTCTCTGGGGAGGGTCCCACACTCCATTCCCACTCATCTCCCTTGATGGTCCCAGGGTCCTCCGCTCCGGGATTGTAACAGATCGTTCTTTTGAAACACCTTCAGATGCTCCGGAACCACAAACATTTTGGTTAGCAGCAGTCTAGTGTAAATCCTGCCGCTCATCTGCCAATTTATTGTACTGTGGTGGCTTGAGTGTTGCTATGGGGGCATGTTACCCGTATTTAAAAAACCAGCAGGGTCACTAATGGTGGACAGGTTTCAGCTGAGCTTCCAGAAAGACAGACTAAGAAGAAGAGATTGACTGCTCCTGAATATTTAGTCACATGAATATCAGTAGAACATTATCAGAGCCAGAATACTGAAAACTGAAACATGACAAATAGCACCAGAATACTGTCAGATACAGTGCTGGAAGATGAGTCCCACAGATT